GGGTTAACTTAACGAAAGAATCAAGTTAGTGTCACTTAAAGATAAAGGTTAGTGTCACTTAAAGAATCAAGTTAGTGTCACTTTGACAATCAAGTTAGTGTCACTTAAAGATAAAGGTTAGTGTCACTTAAAGAATCAAGTTAGTCTTTAAGTGACACTAACCTTTATCTTTAAGTGACACTAACTTGATTCTTTCGTTAAGTTAACCCACAACTTATCATTTGATTTTTATAGAAGAAACAAGGCATGGCGATTACGACAGAGCGGTTTCTCTGTCTAAACATTCTGAGACATTTTAAATTTCTACCAAATTAAAAAAAAAATGATATTCGCAAAAAAAAAAGAAGTCTGAACAAATACCAGCCTATTTGTAGAACATTTAATTATTCATCATCTAATAGGCCAATTTGATGTATATTTTAATTACTCAAACTTAACATAAAGTAGAGGTAAAATCAGGCAGGTCAACAGTGATTTTACGGACTTACAATACTAAACAACAAAGGTTTATGACTATAGACTTCTTATAAGTGTAATGCTTCTTTTAACAGGAAAAACAAACTGAACAAATTAATCAATATAATTTAAGTACACACATTTATAACCTGAGGTAAGGCTTGGTTTGGTTTGTTGTGAATTTCGCGCAAAGCTACACGAGGGTTATCTGCGCTAGCCATCCCTAATTTAGTAGTGAAAGACTAGAGGGAAGGCAGCTGGTCATCACAAACCACCGCCAACTCTTGGGCTATTCTTTTACCAACGAATAGTGGGATTGACCGCAACATTATAACGCCCCCACGGCTGAAAAAGCGAGCATTTTGGTGGGAGATGTATTCGAACCCGCGACCACTGAACTCAATTTTTTATTAAATATAGCTTAAATTTCTAGATAGATTTTTGGTGAATGACTCGTCAAGACTATCTCCACTGTCTTTGCTGGTCATCAGATATTGATAGTTTTATTGTAATATTTGGTTGAGTATACTTTTGGAAATCATCATAATTGTATAAACATTTTAAGCTTTAGTTCGGAATTTGGATAAATATTTTTCTAAGAAACTTAAATACTACGCCAAGTTCCACGAAGCTCGTAATTTTGTCTGGCGTAAAATAGGAGATACGGACGTATTATCAAAATACAAATACCATTTAATCAGTCCGGTTACGTTAGATTTTGTTTTTCAGCTATCCAACAAACAGGAAACAACAGAATTTACATAGCTATGCTAATTCGGGGATGAAACTGTTGTCTATTATTTACATAAAAGGAAACTTGTTTATTTGTGTTTAGAACAAAGCCACATTGGGGTCATCTACTGTGTCTACCGCGGGGAATCGAACCCCGGATTTTAGCTTTGCAAGTCTGTAAAGGTAATGCTGTTCCACTGGGGGACATATAAGGAAAATGATTTGTTTGTTAGTTTGTATTAGAGTAAAGCCACATTGGACTATCTGCTGTGTCCAGCGCGGGGGGAGTCGAACCCCGGATTTTTGCGTTGTATGTTCATAAATTTATTGCCGTCCCACCGGGGAACATTTAAGAGAAAGGAAGGGTACAATAAATGGACAAAAGAAAGATGAAAATGTTGAGATAAGAAAAAAAAATGAATGGAATAATTCAATCAGATATGGTGGATTGTACGGCACAGTATCAAGGAAACTGAAATATTTATAAACATAACCAACTTGATTATTGTGATCACAGCAAAGC